TTTGCTTTGGAAGAGCAGTCAAGTGTGGTGAAGGACCAGGAACTTAAGCCCCAGCTCTGTGCCTAGCAAAAGAGTATGTGAAGGAAAGGGATTTTCTGGGAGGGCCATGTGATTGTAGGGTGCTTCTGGGAAGGCGTAGAAGTTTTCTGAGCCTGTTCGGTGTGAGCTGACAGCACTGCTAGGGAGTAAGAAGTGCTGTGGATGAGCCTCTCGGCGTTCCAGGAGACCTCAGCATCTTTTGCAGTAGATAAGCTTGCTGCAGTTGTAGGCTGGAGACTGCTGGAAAGGCAAAGCCGGCTCTGTGTGGAAGGTTGCTTTGTGCAATCCTTGCTCAACTTCTCTCTGGGGTGCCAAAGCTTCCCAACTGGCTGTGGCATGTATTTTGTGTGCCCAGAGACCTTGGCTTGTTTTCATGCTGTGTCTGTTTTGGAGAACATAAAAAAAAAATGTTGTTTGGAGGAGAGGAGCCTGTGTTGGGAACCATTTGATTAAATAACCCCAAGCTTCCTTTGCCCTCAGCCCTCAATTAGCACAGCAGTGATCAGGCCTCTCTGACTATCCCTGTGGATTTTAAGTGTGTGGCTCACCTTAAACTCTGATGCTGCAGGATTTGCATCCATAGCAAGGTAAGGAAGTGGGTGCTCTGGCAGCAAACAGCTCAGCTCTTTCTGGATGCGTATTTATATCTGTATCTGTTCCAAAAGCATGAGGCACTCCTCTGCCTTCGATGATTAACAGCACCTAGCTGATGGTTGGTATAGTGCCATGACAGGCTACATTTCTAGCTTAGCAGGAAAGCACAAAACTGCTAAAACCATGTGAATGACAGCTGCTGCAGCCCGCTGGGTTTGACCATAGTGTGTCCAATGGCAACTTTGGGTGTAGAGGTGTAGCTTCAATCTTTTTTTTTTTTCTTCTCCTTATTTTCTTTTTCACTAACCCTTCCCCACTGCTTCAGAAGACTCGAAACGCTTTTTCTAGAAATGAGCATGGCCCAAAGCCAGTATTTTGATATTATAAACAGGCTTCTTTCCTTCAGTATAGCACTGGCTTGTTTTCTTGGAAATCCTCTAAAAAAGCCAATTTCAGTATTGGTGTAGCTGTGTCACAGAAGGAAAATACAAAGTCAAAATGGCCTCTGAGCTACAGAGTATGGCAAGATCTTAGATATCAAAATTCCGTGTAGCAGCAAGTATTCAGGCAAAACTGCTCCTGACTTACCTTTTGAGAGAAAAAAATTGGCGATAGTTGCTGCCTTTGTGTCACTTAGTCCCCTCCTCCACTTCCTTGGATGCCCTGTAAAAGTTAATTCATTACTGTTTGTAAAGGTCTCTGCATTTCTCTGCTGCCAAATGCCACTGAGGTACCCTGCGCTTCTGTTGGGTCTGGTTGTTTGCTTTCCTTCTTGGCAGCATGCTGTGACACAGCCTTCTTCAGGGCAGTAATAATAATTTTAAAAAAAAAGAAAAAGCAACCCTCCAACTACACAAAATGCAAAGCAACGAAATGTAGACCCTTACTGCTATTGCCTACAAGGAAAACTGGGTTTCCAGTAGGCCACTGGCCTGTGCAAGAGGCTTTTTCTCATGTCATAGGTTTTGAGTCTGAACTGTTGCATGAAAATGCTTTTCGTGTCCTGATATGCTTTTCTGTATTCTGGAAGTTCGTTACGATGCCTGAAATATATTGGGCTGCCCGATCCTCTTCGTAGGACGTGAGGAGGATGCTCACTCTGACCTTCTCCAAACAGGCAATTAAGCATTGAAACTTTCTGTTCGTTTTCTTCCTGCCCCTCCCCATTCTTCTAAAATCGTAAATGCAAGGAAAGCCTCAGTTAGCTGAAGTGTGGGGTGAATGAATGCAGTGACCGACATGGTACTGAACTCCTCCTGAGACACTGCTGCAAGGAAACAGCCTCCGAACGCGGGCTCTGGGAAGGCTGCCAGTTTCCATTCCCCTCGGAGCTGGCGTGTGGGTGGAGAGGAGGCTTGCTGCAGCCACTTCACCTTGCTCGTAAGGCAGCGGAGGGTCTGCCCTGCAGTGGAAAGTCCCAAAAAACCTGAATTTCTGTCGGGAGACAGACAGCAGGCTTCCTTAGCATTTTGCTTTGCTCCTACTCGCTCCTCAGGGCATCCTCTGGATGCTTATTTGCTTGAGGTTACCCTCCTCCTTGCATGTTGTGTTGCACAAGTGTGTTGGGTCCCTTTCTGCCATGTTTGGGACATCGGTGTCTTTTGGGGGGGGGAGTGGTGGTTCTTGTTGCTTTGCAGCTCCTGCGTGGGGCAGGGCTGTCCTGCACTTTGCAGGGTGAGGCTTCCCCTTGATGTGGGTGAAGAGGTTGAGCAACACGGCCCAGAAGGCTCTGATTCAGCAGCCTTCTCCTTGCTCTTGCTAATTATTGTGACCCTTCTAATTTTCTTGTCTGCAGCATCTTCTCTTTAATTTTTTTTTTCTTTAAAAGACAATTTGAAGAGTCTTCCTCTTCCTAACCTGCAACACTTAGGATGGACTACATGGGAGACAGAAATGGGCTGGTAGAAATTTAGGAAACTGATGTTTCTTACAATTCTCTCCCTAAAGAGCAGACCCTCTGTGATTGGGGTATCTCATATGTGGGACTGAGCCTGTACTAGATTTGCATCAGCAAAAAATAGCTGGGCTTTAATTTTCAGGGCAATAATGGTTGTTTATTGCAATATAAAAGCTTTATTGTGTTTGATTTTGGGTGCGTGTGCAAATGAATTGGTGGGGTAGGTTTAGTGAGGGGATGGAGGGGGTAGTGGGTGGGGAAAGCTGGCATCCTGATGATAACATTCTCTGTGGGGTCCAGGGAAAATGTGTATGTATTAAAACAATTCATTCTGTCCTGTGATGCACTATGTTTTGTTCTAATAGAACTAGTTGGTCAATGGGGCACCTCCCAAACATTTCCCACTGCTGGGATGGAAGTCCCAACGCTGTCTGAAATGAGTGCAGTGTATTAGCAGAGTATAACTCTGTTCATTTTTATCTTTTTGTTTTTAGTTGGTCCTAGTTTTCCAAACATTGCACTTTGAGATGAAACTCTATGGAGTTTTACCTTCCTGGGAAGCGGACGTGGAAAAACTCAGTCATGTTTGAATGCAGTCAGAAGGGGGAATATGTGCTGCTGCTGCATGACTTCTTTAATGAAATTTTGTTTTTAAGCTGCAGCAAATTCACAGTAGAAATCAGAAGTCTGGCAGGGAGAAATAAACCGGCTTTCACTTGTTCTGTGTCAGTGCCTACGTGTGTGTGGCAGTGGGTCAGTCTGTACTGCTTCATTAAAGGAAAATTATTTCCTTGATTAAACAGTGGCTTTTGATTACATATCGGTAGCTGAATGCTTAAATGGAGTTGCTTTTAACAAACCTGATATGAGGAAATATGAAGGACCAGCACCTGAAAGGTAAAGCTTCTTTAAGGTGCTCTAGCTGGATGCAAAAGACCCCGCCAAATGGTCCTAAAGGTGGAATTTGCTTCAAAAGCTAAATTGTTCATCTTAAAGGTATACAGCTAATGAAATATATGGCACTGTACCATAAATCTGACTGATGAAGGTACATGGTGAACAAGTCCGGGTTTGTTCATCTGTCTCAGAATCTCGTGAATGGGCTGGCATCTACGCTTAATTCACTGATCAGTGGGAGGGGGGCAGCTGGAGAATGAGGATGGCAGAGGGGGTGTGTGTGTTTAAATTACTGGGGTGTGATGCCGAAGTTTAATATAGCACAAGGCACAGGAAAATTTAAATTGCTCCTCCGGGAGTGCGCATTGAATCAGTGGTAGTGCTGAGAATTGAATTTAGGTCTTAATTTGTTGATGTCTTTTTTTCCCACGTACCATCCTTGTAATGTTTTCTTCCTGTGTTGTAACATGTGTGAGAATACTTGGTTGCTTTCCTTAGGAGAGGCTTTGTTGGTAAGTGTGAACTTTACAATTAACTGGCAACAAATGTGTTGGCAGTTCCCTTATAATTTTTGTGGGTTCAAAATGAAATTAAGTGTGGGTTCTTGGCAAACTCCAGCTGGCTGAATCGGTGATCTTGGTGATTTGCTGAGAATACTACTGCCAGCCGGACTCCACGCTGCGGCATGCAGCCAGAGCAACGTGGAGAGAGCTACGTCCTAGATCCCGCAAGTGTGTTGGCATTTTTAAACACCGTAGCTCTGGCTTGTTTTGAAATACTGTCCTATTTGTTGGTAGCAGTGCCTAAAGACATCTCTCTCTGTTGTCGAAATGATTGCAAAGGGAGATACCTCTGGGTTGAGCCTTTCCTGCTGCTGGCGCGTGTGCTGTTTTGCTCCCATGTGTCATCGTTTTAGGTAGAGGCATCCCTTCAAAGGGATGGAGGGAGTGTCACTGCTCCTTATTCTGTCCCTCGGCTGGGATTTAACAAGCAATACTGAGGTAATCCCTTCTCCGGCAGCCATACTCCTCAGGCAGCGATCTTATCTTGCTGTGAAAGCTTGAAGAGATTGGGCTCTTGTCAGTGTTTGGCTGGCGGAGATCTGAGGAGCTGTGAGGTGCGGCTGGAAATGACTCAAAGGGAAAAGCATCCATCCTGAGTTGGTCCCTCCATCTAGGCTGACCAGCTACAGCAAAACCAGCGTGGTGCTCTGATCCTCAGCCTGGGCAGGGTCTCCACAGCTCTCGTAGCGCCGAGGCGGGCTGAGCTCTTGTTCTGTGTTTTCCCATAGTGCAGGCAGCCTAGTGCTTCGGTTTATGTGCTGCCCTCGTTTAGGGATTTCCTGTCATTCTCCTGTTGAGGTGACGGCAGAGACGTTTATCTTGCGTCCCAAATGAAATTTCAGGTCCTAGAGAGAGTAATTAATATTCTGTGTATTGCACAATTCTGTGGGCGTGACAGCCCTGTTCCAAATAATGTGGCTATGTCTTCTTTTTTTTAATTATTTTAAGGAAACAAAAGAACTTGTTGCATTTTGGGGGGTTTTGTCTTGTTTTTTTTCTTTTTTCCCTAGCATCCAGCGAGCTGCACTGGTGGTTCTGGAAAATTACTACAAAGATTTCACAGTCTACAACCCAGCCTTGTTAACAGCCTCCAAATCCCGTGCAGCCAAGCACATGGCTGGCCTGAAAGTCTACAATGTTGATGGTAGGTGAGGTAAAACCTAGTCTCTGAGACTGGGTGGGATGGGGAAGGGCTGGGCTGGCTTTATGCTTTGTTATGCACACATTCTCACCTTTTTGCTTTGCCAAATCCTTGTCTCTTGCTGGAAATCTTCCTAACAGTGCTGAGTTTGCCGGTTCCAGATGACTTTACAGATGTGTTTAGCCCACAATAAGGCTTTTGTCTTTGCCAGGTGAAATGGCCAAGTTTTGGGTCAGGTTTAATTACGTGGCTTGACAAGCACTTTTCGGCACCACTGCTTGTTTTAGGCAGCCTCTGCTTTTTGTCACCCTTGGGTCATCTCCTTGGTTGTGATAGTACAATAAACACAATTTTTAACCTAAATGAGTTCCCCGGTCATTTATTGTGCTGCTTCTGCAGGCAGCCTTCAGGGAAGTGAAGGAGGTTGATATCAATGTGGGAAGAAGCAACTGTGTAAGCAGCAGTTGCCAGTGAAAGCAACGCTCGTCAGCCTGCAGCCTTAGCACTAAATTAGCTATGCCTGGCTTACGCGTGGCCATGCTCCCAAGTCATCATGATGCTAAGCAGTTCGTGGAAATTCAGAGACCCGTAACTATCCCCCTTAAGCTTTGCCATTCTACAGACCTGTTTCAAACTTTTGGGCTTTAAAGAGGCCTGTGGGAGGGTGGATGGGTGGATCCCTGTAGAAACTCAAAGCAGTGAAAACTGGACTTAATCATTTGACACTCTTAAACCCTGTCAGTGAAAGCTAGGCTTGATAAGCAGGGTGTGCCCAGCCATCACAGCCTTTCCAAAAGTGCACATTCCTTTGATGGAAGAGCTGAAGTTGGGTAGGGAAGCTTTTATGGTGAAGGATGGCTGAAGTGTGGTAAGGCACATCGTGCCTGTGAATGCATTAGTATTGAAAGGCTTTGAGAGCTGGAAGGGAGAAGGGACCGAAGGGACTTAGCTGGGCAAGGTGGCTCTGCATGCAGGGTGTGGAGACTGAAATATGAAGAATATCTGTCACATGGAAAAACATGAGACATGATTGTTTTGCTTTCAACAAAGTTTCAGTGCCTTATGGGTGTGGGTTTTTATTTTATTTTTTTCAATTTTTCATGACTTCAGAAGTTTCAAAGACCTTATTCTAAATGCTGATGCAGCACTCCTGAGTCTGTAGAATTAATTGGAGGTTTAGATCCTTACAGTGGGATGTCCCCATCCTGAAAGAGGAAGGGGAAAGGGGGAGGCAGGGGGGAGGGAGAGGGGCAGGCTTGCCCATCGTGTGTCCCCTGCTGTCTGGAGTGAAGAAGCACTGAGGTGGGAGAGAATGAGTTGAGTTAGAGAGGGGAAGCAAACAGATTTGCTCTGCACTTTTCTAGAGGTGAAATCTTTCATTCCAGCTGCTCAGTGAGGCCTGCTGTGTGGAAAGTGAGGGCTTCCCAATCCTACAGGTGTCCGCACACCATTCAAACCCACCCACCTGCCAGGCTGGCTGCAGGACATGCCATTCTCGTTGCTACCTGGCTTGTCTTCTCCTGCGTTGCAGCATCTCTTCAGGAGGTGGCAGGGTCTCTGTTCCCGCAGCACCTGCTGGGATGTTGGAACTCCCAAGCTTGGAGGAGAAACTGCTGGTCTGGTAGCGTTAGTAGCGTAGGAGGTGCTAGCTCACAAAACTTTGTTGGAAGAAAAGGAACCAGAAGCAAGCTCCAGATGTGGCTGGCAGGCCTTTCCAAGTGTCAAGCTCATGAGCCTGCTGGGAGCTGAAAACTTGTGCCTTCCTTTCTGGGGCAGTACTGGTTGCCTGGGCTGTTCCTTGTGCAATGCCGCTGCCTTTGCGGACATGGAAATCTCACGCTTAGAGGCATGTCCTTAAGAAGATTCCCGTCCATTTTATAAAGCAGAGTGTAGTTCTGGCTGCAGCTTATCTTGGCACCCTGACAGTCTCTTACACCCTCCATGTGAAAAGACAGTAATGCTATTAAGGCAGCCTAATTTGTTGGCAGCTTTTGTATTTGATACCGGAGTATCCAGGAAGGAAAAACATCTTGCTGTAATCTCTCTTTTATACAGAGTGGGGAGGCTCACCTTCAGAACCAGGATTTTCATCACCAGGCATAGTCAATGAGGCGAATTACAGTTCTAACCCAAATTTGGGAGATGGTGTCTCCCTCAAGCCACATCCTCCATTTTGAACGCTTGTCCTTCCCACTGCTGCACTTCAGGCTTCTGCTTGGTACCTGGTTTGTGCTTTTTAGGAAAAAATTATAGAAGTTGCCCTTGCATGAGAACAATGTTAAGCATGTCTGTGCAGTTGATTGGCCTTAACCACTGCCAGTTGAGAGTGTGCATTTTCAGAGCAGTTAGTCAGAAAAGCAGCTCTTGGTGGTTTGGAGGCAGTCCTAGACTTCTCTTATTTCCCTCTGGGTAGACCCACCTCTATCTTCTATCTAGGTAGAAGGGTTGGTAGACTCCTCTGGGGCAACATTTTTTCCTCCCTCTGCCCAAACAGCCAGAGCTGTGAGCTTCATCGGGGAGCTGCAGAACCTACTACTGTATTTTAAGGTCACTAGTTAAGGTCTTGTAGTAGACAGCTCTGTCACTTGACCGTGCGTTACAGAGCAGATTGCAACTTCCCTGTTCCTGTAGCTGTGTAGGATCTGTTAAAAGCAACAGAAACTGTAATGGCAGGTGCTGCTCAGAGTGCCATAAGAAGCTGCTACACATAAAAACCCCAGCCTACCCTATTTGCAGGACTGCTGCTTGGACAGCATCCACCCTTGTGGAAAACTCTATGCTTTGTCTAAAGGTGACCCTGCTGCCTCTGCATCCTGTTTTTCCTCCCCGTGTGTAACTGTCTGGAGTCTGGCTTTTGTTCATTCATCTCCATGTCTCATGATGTTCTTGTGTTTGTCTTTCTCCTCTTTCCAACTCCTCACTTCTTGCGCTCTCACACTGTCTTGTTGCTGAAATGCGGTGTGTTCCAGCTGCCCTTGCCTTCAAACTGAAAACATATATAATGGGTGGTAAGTTGCATCCTTGGCATGTGCACCTCACCTCTGCCTTTGTGTATGTTGCGTGAGATCCTTCATCCCAACTAACTTCCCTCGTCTGTGTGCCAAAGCCCCCTCTCAGCCCGTTACGCCTAGCAGGGTTTCTACCAGAGCTCCTGAGGACTGGGGAAGGGTTTATAGGTTTGGCTGGGAAGGCTGGAGCCACAGAGCACTTGTGACAGATGCTGTGGGGTGCTGGTCTGTCCCAGCCCCAGTCCTGTGGCAGTAACGCTGCCTTTCTTGGCTCCTTGTTGCTCGTCCTCGCCTCCTGAAGGCCCAGGGAACAACGCGTCGGGGCAGTCTCGTGCCATGATTGCAGCTGCAGCCCGTCGCAGGGACTCCAGTCACAACGAGCTCTACTACGAAGAGGCTGACCACGAGCGTCGAGTGAAAAAACGCCGTGCAAGGTAAAGCTGTCCCTTCCCGGGTGCCGTGCCGCTCCTCGGTCGCGTGGGGCTTGCCAAGCCTGGCGAGAGGGGGGACCCGTGATTAAGGGCTGGGGCTTGGTTGTAAATCTGTCACATCAAAGCAGCATATGAAACCCAGATGTATAAGGGATGGTGACAGCTTGCAACTGGAATTATCTGAAGAACATGCGTAAAGCAGAGCTCATGTATATTATGCAGATAAGCTAATGCAATGTCATGGATTAAGGAACAGTCCAGTGCTTGACAAATCTGTAGTTACTTGCTGTAGGAAATCCTGTTATTTTCCCCCATGCTCAGGCTTTCGTCTTAGCTCAAGTAATCCAGGGACAGGATCAACGGAGCACTTGGTGTTGCCTGTTCATGGGCAAGAATATTTGTGTTTGCAGACTACTGAAAGGGGCAGTCTGACTGCCCTTTTCAGTGAGTTGGGGAACAAAGACGTGAGCGGAAGCGGTTACGTTTTATTTTGCAACATAGGTATGTTTTCTGCCAGTCACACTTAGGCTGCAGAGTTGATGCTTTGCTGAGGTGACCCGAGATAGTGTCTCTATTTGCTCTGGAGCCTAATTACAGTTTGTAGTTAACACACCTAACAGTTTGAGGCAAGTTGCTTGCGGACAGGCACCCCTGAACTGAGCTGTGTTTAGAAGGACTGTGCCGTAACTGGAAGGAGCTGGCTTGTTTTGTGTTTTCTTTTGGCAGTTTATATTTCATTGGGAAAGTGCTGGCACGGTGTCCCCCACCTAGCCTGCTTCAGTCTGACCTGTGCTCTATAGCCACTGTCTTTTGGGCTCTCTTCAAGCCTTGGAGCAACTGGAGCTTAAGCTTTTCTTTCCGTGCAGTGTAGCATCCTAACTCAGGCACATCTCCCTTGCTTGCTGAGTTTCGTTAGAACAGCTGCTTAGTCAGAGGTAAACAATCAGTCACTAGAAGATCAGGCCAGATGTTTCAAAGGAGGAAGGTTAGAGCTGCAACAAAAAGACACGAGGAGATTAGAAACTGATTTCTACCCCCCCACCTCCCCCAAGTCAAATTAAACAAAATGGGCAGGGGTCAGGGCTTCTCATGCTGTTCCTTATATATAGTCTGAATGTGGTACGCTATACCTCTGCCTCTCGTGAGGCAGCTTCCCCTGGCTTTAAGATGCTTTGGATATTGAGGGCAGCGTGGACAGTAGTTGGCGACTTGAGTGGAAATCTAGTGTGAAACAAGTCCTGTCTGGAGGGGCAAAAGAGTTTTGTTGGGTGACTCTTTCATTATCGTTGCTTTTTCCTCACTAACTGCAGCATGGCTCCTCACATGTTACTTAGTACTGGGTTAACTTGCAAGTGCCATGTGGCATCTGTTTGCCTTTTTATGGTGTGGTCTTGGTGTTTACTCACCTGTGCCAACACAGGAATGCTTTGCAGAGGATGTCTCTAGCTGCAGCGAAGACGGGAGTCCTGTCACTGTTCAGCGGAGGGGTGCAGAGCAATCATTCGGCAGCACAAGTTCTGTACCTGGTTGGTGTAAATCGGAGCAGACTGCAGCTTGAGAGCACAGATAGTCTTGGAACAGTCTGTGTCCTGGGTCATGCTCTTTTATAGCCAGCCTCTTCCTGACTGCTTGCCCGTCCTTATGCTTCACACTGCAGTACTGTATGCTGGAACCGTTGTTTTAAAAGACATGCATTGAACGCAAGGGCAGCTGTGTCTTGTTTGAATCATGTAGCTGATGTTTATGCTGTGTTGGCAGAACTAAGTACGACACTCAGGCTTTTAAAGTCTTAATCCTGGTTTATGATCCTCAGTTGCTGGATGGCTCGGGCAAGGAAAGAAAAGCTGCTATCTACCCCTCAGACTGTCAGTAGAGAAGATTTTATGTAGATTGCCTGATGGCAGGCAGTGACTCAGTGGCAGAGATGGGAATAGGAGCTTGTAAATCCTGACTCCCAGGCTCTGCCTTAACCACAGACCCATCCTACTTCTCTTGTTATGACTCTTGTTGTCCTGATTTTCCTTCTGCAGGCTCGTGGTTGCAGTAGAGGAGGCTTTCACTCACATCAAACGCCTCCAGGCAGAGGAACAGCAGAAAGCTCCAGGAGAGATGATGGACCCCCGAGAAGCAGCCCAGGCAATCTTCCCGTCCATGGCAAGAGCTCTGCAGAAGTACCTTCGCACTACCCGCCAGCAACAGTACCACAGCATGGAGAGCATCTTGCAACACTTGTCCTTCTGCATCACCAATAACATGACACCAAAGGTAACGCTTTCTCTAATGTTGTTGCAAGAAGGAGGGAGAAGGGGATGGCACATCTGCGTGTGCACGCAGAACACAAAATTGTCAAGGGAGGTGAGTGGTGGTTTTCATAGTTGCTGCCTGTGATATCAGTGCATTGTAGGTTGCCTCGGGTCTTAAAAGGAAGTAACGTTTCCTCTACAGCATCTTTTGTCTCTGTTGTCTCTCAAGTGCCTATGAGATAATTGTTCTCATATCCAGTTCAGCAAAAGGAGTACCAAAGAAGTGTTTGAGATGGTGGCCTTGAGTCATAGGGAATTCTCCCAGGTGGCTCATGGTATAGCAGCATGATGCAGGTGGCAACCTGCAAAGGACCGTTTTTGGTTTGGTTTGGTTTGGGTTTTTTGTCCCTTCTGCAGTGCTGCATTTTGGACTGCTTCTAATTACTTCCTAAATCCCTGTCTGTCTGAATGTTTCTAATTTGTGGACCGCTTGGTCAAATGTCAGTTTGCTGCTTCACGCCCTGACTGTGCCTGTTGACTTGCAGACACAGAGAGGGACTGAATGATGAGGGAAATGGGTCACACAATCCCTCTCCGACTCTCCACCTTCCCCTCTAAGAATACCCCACAATCCTAGAGAAGGGTTAGAAATGCGAGAATTTACTCCTGGGCGTTTACCGCAGACTTACTACACTAGGAGCAGAAATGCTGTCAAGAGATGGGGCTTAGCATCCCCTCGCTGGGATCCACCTGGGACCTCACCCAGGTATGCAAGGGGGAGTTCTGCTGCCATTAAGACCGTAAAGGAGACTTTAAAACACAAGCACTGTCAAACGGCGTTCCCTGTTCTGCTTTCAGTTTTGCAGCCTTAGTCAGGCTGCAAACATGGAAACCTCTGCTTTCCACCGTAGCTTGGCCTGGAGAAGGGAGGGCCAGCTAGTCCATGTTCCTGTCTGGGACTGCGGTTTTGGGATGTGTTATGGGGCTGGTAGGGGAGAAATGACCTGTACTGAACTGCTGCCGGATGGCAGTGCTGATAGCAGAAGTCAGGGCTATAGCTTTGCAAGCTTGCTGGGATGGACTGAAAGAGGATCTCCTGGTGGTTGTGCTCCTGGGGTCTGAAAAACTGGGAGGGACTGGGGAGACGATGTCTCCTGAGGTACGGAAGCTGAAACAATTTGCAGCATGGCAAGCCCATGCTCGCAGAGCTGTATCTGGGGATGGGAAGAGAGCATCAACGCAGAGCGAGCTGTGGGGCCGGTGCTAACGCGTGTCCCTCTCTCGGCAGGCATTCCTGGAGCGTTACCTCAACCCAGGCCCAACCCTCCAGTACGACAGGGATCGCTGGTTCTCCAAGCAGTGGACTCTTGTCAGTGAGGAATCGGTCACAAGTGGGTTACAAGACGGCATTGTGTTTGTCCTCAAGTGCTTGGACTTCAGCCTTGTTGTTAATGTGAAGAAAATCCCCTTCATCAAACTCTCAGAAGAGTTTATAGACCCTAAATCGCATAAATTTGTCCTCCGCTTACAGTCTGAGACTTCAGTCTAAGGGATTTTGAGGGTGGGTTGTTTGGGGATTTTTTTTTTTTTTTCAATATTTTGCTTTTGGGTTTAATTTCCCCAATGCTGACTGAAACTGGCAGATGATGGACCAGTAATATTTGACCATCTGCACTTTATTTGGAAAGGGGAGGGGGGAGTTGAGATATCTTATCTGGAAAGAAATATCTTAAGAGGCGACAGGGTGACTTGGCTCGGTTAGCTCAGCCTTGGAGACAGAACAGACTTTTTTTTTTTTTTCCTTTCCCCCTCCCCAGCATACTGTAAATCTCACACTCGCTCTTTCTCTGCACTATTGCAACGTTGGTATTTTTGTTGGAGCGCTGCCTTATGCTGTGTGCGCGCCTGCGCTTTTGCATCTCTGCTTTCACTACCTGTAGCTGTTTCTGAGAGTGCGTTGCTCACCTCTCCGCTATAGAAATCTGCTTCCGTGGGGGTGTGGCAGTCCCTGTTCGCTTGGAGAGGAAAGGGTATCAAAGGGTGGGTGTGAGAGGGCTGCTTCTATGAGCCACCTAATCTGGAGACTGAAGACTTTTATTCTTTTCCTCCTCTCCATATGCCCTCTTCTGTTGGTGCTGGACCTGTATGAGCATAGTGGGATGGTTTTGCTCTCTGTGTCTCTGTGAAGTTGCTTGTCTTGAAATAGATCAGCCCATCTTGCAGCTGTTAAAATTTAATTTTTTTTTTTTTTTAAACCAGTGCTAGTTAGTGAAACTGTTCTGTGTGACACAGATCCCGTTTATCTCTCACCTGCTTCCCTCTGTCCTGCTTGCCTGCATCTTGGTCAGGCACTCCCACGGCTCCCCATTTCTGTCCTCTTCTGTCTGGCTTTCCGAATGGGTTTCTCCAGCCACGGTCCCCTCAGGGTCTGCCTTACCATCGCTTCCTTTTGCACCTGCAAGGGCTGTGTATTTGCACTGGGACAGGGTAGGTAAGTAGCTGGCCCCTCAGATAAATCACAGACCCTCCCTACGTCTGACAGCATCTTTGAGGGGAAGGGGGGTGCAGGCAGGAATGTGCCTCTCCCTCTCTAGCCGGCTTCAAGTGTGTCTGGAGGAAAGATGGGCAAAAGCACTTCCCTCCTTGAGAGGAGCCGGGGAAGGGCCGACCTCTGCCATGTGCACTTGCTTTGGAGAGCTGCTGTGCTCTGGAAACACTGCAGTGTGTCCTTCCCCACCATATGCCTTCAGCTATAGTGAATAAATACCAAACTATGTCCGAATGTTGAAAACCTGCCTGCCTTTCTTGGCCTTTCTCTACTGCAGGAGCTTCTGCTTGGTGCTGGGATCTGCTCCTGAGAGATGCAGTTTTGTTTATAAGGCTGCCTTTGCCCATCAGTGCAGCTTTCACATGCAACTTTAGTGTCACCTGAGTTTTATGGGGTTTTGGCAGGTTTGCTTTTAACGATGAGCCTAAAGCGATGTCTGAAGTCTGATTGCTGGCACAGGGCATCGCATGACTCCGGAGCCAGCTCCAAGGCTGGCAGTGACCTGCCTTCTGTCAGGTCCCTCTGAGACGCCCCCAGCTCTGTGGCAGTGGATTTGCATGTGTGAATGCAAATGCTCGATTCATTCTGCCCGGTCTTTTGCCATGCAAATAGCTCTATCAGGCGGGATCTGACCTGCTCTCCATACCGATGTCTTAACACAGAGGGCCCCAATTCAGCGAGGTACGTAAGCCAGTGCCTTTCATTACCAGGGTGCGTTGTCTTCCGAGGGGGGCTGTGACAGCCCCTCCTGACCCCTTGGCCTTCCCTGGGCTCCTCCAGCACCTTGTGAGGTTGCCTCCACGCTCCCACCAGCACAAGGTGGGCCGGCTAAGATTGGGGCTCTTGTTAGTCCTGCGTGGCATGGCTGGTGTGGGCTGGCCGGTGCCCACCAGAAGCTGGTGGGAGGGAGCAGCCACCTTAAGCAGGTGTGCTGGAGACAGGGGTCCAGCTTCTTCCAGCTTCAGCAGCACTGGAGCTGCATGTCCAACAGCACCTGCGGATAGTCCTCTTGGGGTCAAGGGAGCACCTCAGTGAGCGAGGGTCTAAAGTGGTGATTCCCCATCCAAGTGACACTTGCCGTGTCCCGCACCTTTCTTACAAGTGCACGGTAGTCACCTGGATCCTGCCTTCTCCATGTAATGTGCCAGATGTGGTTGTGAAGAAACTAGATGGTGTGGTACATGATGGTATCAGGCCCACGTCCCTTAAAGGATAGGAAGCAGGTAGAGCTCTCCCTTCTCTAAACTTAGTGTTTGGGTTTCTTTCTAGGTCAGGCTTTCTGGTAGTCTGTATGGGGACTCTGTTATTGACTGTGGCCTTTGCAGTGTTTTATTTTGAAAAAAAAAATAGATTGGTTTATTCCTTTTTTTTTAATTTAAAAAAAAGGAGGGGGAGCATATAATATCTCACACTTGGCTCTCCTAAAGGTGTGTGTATCTGGCTTTTATGATGCGCATAACCAGCAAGGTGGGAGAGACTGGGAGTAGCTTGGGAGACTATGGAGCACTTATGCCTGTGTGGAGGCTACTGCCTACGGCTAAATTGGCTCATTTCTGTGAAGCCGGAACAAGAACCACCTTGCTGGGGGCTTGGGTGTGCTGTATGCGTGAGAGTACCTTGTCACAGGCACCTCTGTAAAACTTTCTTACTTTCCCAGGATTTCCTTTCCCTTTCCTTTTCCCTCCCCCATGAAGGGGTTGTCTGACAGTATCTGCTCAGGAGACTCATGTCTTAATTGCGTTAAATCCTTGAACACATGGAGAACCAGACGGAAGCGCCGTGTGCTCACTCTGGGTCTGCTTCCTCATCTGTGTGCTGTGGTTCAGCGCTGCCTTTTCTCCCTGCCGCCGAAAAGGACACTGTCAACGGGGGCCAACTCCTGCATTAAACGCTCTTCCCTGTGTCAGCAGCCTGACTGCTTTGCCTGATGAAATCTGAAGGAGAGGACTTGGCCTCCCAGTCTCTTTAGAGGTGCAACCTGCTTAAGGGTGAGGACAGACTAAAAGGGGAATCGGGACTCCTGAGTATTCCCTGTGTTTGGTTTTTTATGACATTTTATTTTTCAGGGTCTCTCTTGCTTCCCCTCTCTGTGCAAAATCAGGGGACCACTGTCATACCTACCTCACTGGGGTGTTGTGAGGCTAAACTCAACTTGTCGTCAAGTGCTTTGAGATCCACGGATAGATCTGTGGCATCTGTAGGAATTCAGACTCTTTATAAAAATACTGAGTGGGGAGAGCAGACTGGTTTGTTTAACTCTGTTTATAGCCAGCTAATGAGTAAGAATCGAGTCACAGGGAACGAAGCTCTGATCCAAATCCTGCAGTCCTTAGTTCTGCAGAGCTTGCCAAGAGTTGAGCGTAAATAAGGCTTGTAGGGTTTGCCAGCCAAGTGCAGGCTGTTTTCCTCTGAATCCCTCTCCTATCCTGCACTGTCTCCTTGCACATATTCTCCTTCCTTTCTCCCAGCCTGGATCCTTGTACCTGGCTGGGAATTGGTTGTTTTTTTAGAATTCAGGTGGTTTATAAGACAACTCTGTTGGTGGTGAAGTGGACAATGCCCCCCTCAGAGGAGATCCTTGCACTGGACATCCTTCACTAAAGGCTGAACCATTCGATAGGGTGCCGTGTTGCCTAGCCAGGAGTGGTGTTGCCCCACTCCTCTCTTCCATGTTGGCTTTTTTCCTGTGACTCTCAAGTATGCTGCTTGGATACTTTAAAGGCTTTGGTTTTTTGTTCTCAGATTTGTTACAGCCTAAATCCAAAGCCATGCTGAGATCTTCCAAAACCAGATGCAGCTAAGACTTTCAGCTGTTCCGGAGCAGATGAAAATGGCTGTGGGTTTCCACGAAGGCTGGCTTTCTCTTTTATGGCTAAAGAGTGAAAGGTTTGCATTTCTTGCAGCTTCTAGGAGCGTAGGGGCCAATATTAGACCCTTAATATCTTGCCAGTCCTGTCACTAGGCCTAGGCAAAGGTTGCTAGCCTATCTGTTAGCCTCTCATTGCTGCTTGGCTGCACCCATCCGTGTGTAGGTCCTGTGGGGCTGCCCCAGGTCTCAGACTCCTTTCCTACTCGCAGGAGCAGAGCTGGCAGCGCTCTCAGAAGTGTAAGCATTTTAGCACTCTCCTCCATAGCGTGCAACTACCAGTTTGCACCCTGTGGAGGGGAGATGTTGCCACCCACACCCCCCGTAGGCAGCAGGGTGGCTGGGGAGGGATGCACCGTGCATGAGAAGGTGGTGTGATGCGGCTTGCTCGCAGAGCGAGGCCAGCTCCTGCTTCTGGGGTTGTCTTGGGTGCCTTCAAGAGCAATTCCCCCTGAAGGGGGATATTGGAGAGAAAGGCAGATCTGATTTCAGCCTCTGTCAGCTATTCCTCTGACTTCTGCCTCTAAAAGTTTCCCTGCCAGCAACTTCAGTCACTCCAGCTCCATCCCCTCCTCCCTGTGTTTTTTTCCCTGAAGTTCCCTAGTGAGGCAGAACAAGTATCTGCTGGGATGGGAGGTGCTGGGGCTGGAGTTTGGAGCTCGGGGGCAGCTCACGATAAGGCGCAAGTTTGGGGGAGATCTGAACAAATCCCAACCCTCACGGAGCCTCTTAACCTTTTCCTTTGGGATGGGGATCTCCATGCAAAGCCTGGGGAATCTGCTGTTGCCAAGCATGCCAAAAGCTGCAGGGAAGCAGTTTCTGAAGCTGGCCCTGCATAAGTAGCTTTTAAAAGTCTTGTTTGAGATGTGCTCATTTCCAGCACTTGCTGCTGAAGAAACTGAAAAGATCCATACTGTGCTAAATGTGGAAACCTATTCAAGCCAGTTTCATCTTGCTTACCAAAACTTGTAAATCTGCCCTTTTCAAAGGTAAGACAAAAGTCTTGCAGTCTTTTGCAAAAATGCTGTAGTCTGGTCCCAGACTGCGCTGTTCAGTTGCGCTCGGTTCTGCCCTGCTGTATGAGCGCTGTTCAGGAGATGTCAGTTTTCTCATTCAGCTTGTGCGTGTCTATGTG